CTAGTCTGGTCTAATTTGTTTAAAAATCATTTAATATCAACATTTGCTAATTTACTATTTTATTTATAATATTTACTTAATTTTAGCAATATATTGTATATAGTTAAAATTTAAATCATATAGGATGTTAAACATCATATATTATAATTCAGAATTAGAATTAGATTTTAAAAAATGAGCTTGAAGCACTAAGTATTTATACTTAAAGCACTAAGTATTAATTTTTAGTTATTTTTTGATAACACCTACAGTCAACTCTTCTAAATCTGGATCTGAAAATCTGAACCCTTAATAAACTCTGTAAAAACTAAACACAAAACTTCAGAACATTTGTAAATTTTATTATAAAGTTCAGATTAACAACATAGTAACTCTTTGAGAACTGAACTTATTGTTATTTTTAAATATAAGAATGGACTGTTCAGAATAGAGAAAGTTGGCTGAATAGTATATTTTGGTGCATTTTAGTAAACCTAAATTCACTTTTTGCATATAGATTTGTTACTTTATTGCATGTTAGTAAATTCATCAATGTGTTGATAATATACTCTCATATTTCTGCTTAGCAATTTTCATTAATTCTGCGAATTCACCACTTCTCACACACATTTCTCTAAATACTCCATCAAGCCTTTGCATTAGTATGTATGGACTATCGAATTCAACTATGTTTCCAGCATCTAATTTTGGAGAGAATTAATATTTCAAATCATTAAAAATTTTCTTATAAAAATACATACCCATAACCAAAATTCTATCATAGTCTGCGACTGTTCGCAATCTATGCGCAATAGTAATAACAGTATTATCTTTAAGCTCTTTTCTAATTGTAGCTTGTATTAGATGATCAGTTTTGAAATCTATACTTGCAGTAGCTTCATCCATTATAATCAATTTAGAATGATGAACTAGTGCTCTGGCTATTGCAATTAGTTGTTGTTGACCTTGAGAAAAATTTAATCCATTTTCTTTGACAGGTGAGTCAAGCATTATTGGTTCTTGTTTGTGATTTTTCTGATCTGAAATAGGAAAGATAATATTTGACTCTTCTTTTTCAGAAATACGATTGGAATTTTTAATTAAGTGCACACAACGAAGCGCATTCCATAACTCAAGATCGCTATGCTTGTTGAATGGGTCTAAGTTGCTTCTATTTTTTTTTAGAGAAATTAAATATTCAGTTA